AGGACTCCCTGGTCTGAGGGAGGAGGCCTCCTTCCCCAGGCCCGTCCCTGTTCTCGGTGCTGAATGAGCTCCCCAGCGCGGCCACTGTCCGATTCCGAGGCCCTGGGGTGCTGCCTTGGGGGGCCCTGGAGGAGCAGGACGAGGATGATAAAAGGCAGACCCAGGCCTTCATGGAAGCTGACCACATGGACCTGCAGGATCCCCGGCCCTCTCGGGAGTTGCCATGGCCCATGCAGGCCCGGCGGGCCCACAGGTGAGACCCACCTGCTGCCCTGACCCTCCAAGCAGCTGTTTGTCGCACAGATGGCTTCTTACTTCTCTCTAAGAGGGAGAATCGTGATTAACATCAGCCCAAGGCTGGTGGGTCCTGTAAGGTGCAGGTCAACATGCCCACCCCCTCCCCACCCTTGACCAATCCTGACACCACACATCCCTCCCATGACAGGCTTTATTTGCTCTATTCAGATTCAATAATTCGTTACAGCAGCCACGGAGAACTCACAGACCATACTCATGGTTGTGGGGTTATTCAGGGAAGTAACCAGTTGCAATTCAGGTTCAGGAATGCTCAGGATACAGTTCTTCACTCAGGATAGCCTTCTCAGCTGACCATGTTTGTCTCTGGCCGTTGGCAACGCATCCCAGCCTCTGTCCTCCTCAAAACTATTTTAGCTCCACCAATAGGTGCCCAGAGGCAATCACTCTGCCAGCAAGCCTCTTGCCCAAAGGCACTCAGCTTTCTCAGTCCATGGGCTTAACCACTGCACTTCCAGGATTCCGTAGGGAATCCAACGAAAACCAAACTCACCGCCACCTTGTAGGACAGGGTCGAACTGCCCCTGTGGGGTTCTGAGGCTGTACATCCTCATGAGAACAGAAAGCCTCATTTTCTCCCTCAGAACAACTCCTGGGCTCAAACTGCTGACCTTGTGGTTAGCAGCCCGACTCGGGAGGTTGTTTCTGGAGTCCCTGTGATGACACTCTAGCACAGTTCACTCCCTCCTGCTGTTGGTGGAGGCTGGTTTTGCATTCTTTCCAGTGTGGAGCTGCTACACAATCCCCAAGAGTCCTGGTGGTGTAATGGATTAAGAGTTAGACTAATAACTGAAAGGTCAGCAGTTCGAAACCACCAGCCGGTCCTAGGGAGAAAGATGAGGCTATCTACTCCTGTAGAGGTACAGCCCCTGAAACACACACAGGTCTACCTTTTCCCATTGGTCGCTAGGAATCAGAATCAACTCGATGGTAGTAAATTTGGTTCTGTGTTTGAGTGACACACTGGGTTACATGTTGATCTGCTAACTACAAGGTCAGTGGTTCAAAACCAGCAGCTGCTCAGCTGGAGACAGATGAGGCCACCTGTTCTCATAAAGATGTACAGCCCTGGAAACCAAGTTGACATTGCTAAAAGAGTTCTGGTGGCTGATGGGTTATGCGTTGGGCAGCTAATTACAAGATCAGCGGTTCAAAACCACCAGCCACTCCATGGGGAGAAAGATGAGGCTTCTGCCCCCATCCAGATTCACTGGCTCCAAAACCCACAAGGACAGTTCTACCCTGCTCTATAGGGTCGCCATGAGTCGGAATCCACTCCGTGGCAGTGGGTGAAACACTTTCTAGGACCCCCTCGGTGGTCGAACTGCTTTACCTTCTCAAGCTGCTAAGAGGAAAGTTGGCAACTGCAGCCCACCAAGCGGAGTCACTGAAGAAAGGCCTGGTGGCCTGATAGCCTCAGGTCCAGTTCCAGTGAATTTCGCAGGCGCCCGCAAGCTCTGCATCATCTCTGATTCCATTTCCCTTCCAGGAAGAGCCTGGCTCAGAACCAAATGGCCCGAGGCGCGGGGTCCAGAGCGGACTGGGCCCGGAAGCTGCGCAGGTGCAGACAGAAGATTCGAGAAAGTTGGCGGAGCCTGCGGCCGTGGGCGTGGACGCTGAATAAGATAGGGGGTGCGTTTGAGCTTACTTGAAATATAGAGGACAGGGTCTGGGAGCAAAAGGTGCAGGGTGAGGAAGAAGAGGTGGGGCTTGGCAGCCCACAGGGAGGAGCACAGAGAAGAGGCGGGGCTTGGCAGCCTGCGGAGGGAAGGGACAAGGAAGAGGGGAGAGCCTGGCCGCCCACAGGGAGGAGGGACAGAGATAAGGAGGGGGTAGTGCCTGAGCCAGGGGCAAGGCAGGGCCAGTAAGGAGGAGCAGGAGGAGGAGCAGAGAGAAAGGGCTGGGTTTGGCAGCCCACAGGAAGGAGGCACAGAGAGGGGGCGGGACCTTATCACCTGCAGAGGAGAGGAGGGACCTGGCAGCCCCCAGGGAGGTGCGGGCAGAAGAGGCGGAGCCTGGGACTGGCCCGGAAGAGAGACAGGGAGAAGGGGCAGGGCCAAGAGAAGGAGCTGGGAGGGGGCGGGGCCTGGCAGCCTGCAGAGAGGAGGGGCAGGGAGAAGAGGCGGGGCCTGGCAGCCAGCAAGGAGGAGGGGCGGGGCCGAAGCCTGAGCAGGAGCCCAAGGTCTGTCTGTCTCTGCTGCCCTCTTCAGGCCAGTTCGGAGCCGGCACCGAGTCTTACTTCTCCCTGCTGCGCTTTCTGCTGCTGCTCAACGTGCTGGCCGCTGTGCTGACGGCCTGCATGACGCTGCTGCCCACCTGGCTGGAAGGGGCTCCCCCGGGGCCCCCCAGCCTTGGCGTCTCCTCACACTGTGGCCCCTACAACCCGAACCCCCAGGGCCTGCTCTCCTTCTCCAGCCAGATCTTCAACTTGCTCTCGGGAGAGGTGCTCGACAGGGGAGCTTGGGGGGAGCCTGGGAGAGCCCAGCGCGGAGGTCAGGTGCCTGGGTGAGCCTCCTGATCCCGCCTCCAGTCCCCAGTCCTGACCCCGGCCCCTGTCTCCTTCCCTCCCCAGGGATACCTAGAGTGGTCTCCTCTCTTTTATGGATTCTACCCGCCCCGCCCGCGCCTGGCCATCACCTACCTGTGTTCAGTCTTTGTCACCGGCCTCCTCTGCCTCCTGCTCATTCTGCACCGGTCAGTGACAACCCCCACCTGCAGCTCTGAGTGGAAGGGAGAGGGAGGCTGACACCTCTGACTCTCCGACTGTGGCCTTTCCCTCTCTGCTTGAGTCCAATTCGATTTTAAAACCTTTATGCACTGGGGGCTAGGGATGGGGCCTTGGGCTGCTCGGTTCAAACCCATCCTGGTGGTACCACGGAAGAAAGCCCTGGCGATCTGCCTCTGTAATGATTACAGCCAAGATCATGGTTTCACCGTGTAATCCTTGAATATTTAGGGGTACCATGAGTCACAATCAACTGGACAGTGACTGGTTGGGGGCTAGGGATGCCAGCCCTCTTGTCACTTTAGAGCGAGGTGGTCGACAACCAAACAACCAAATGAACCCTTCCTTTTGTGATCCTGGTGACATAGGGTGCCCACCTATGTTTTCCACCTCTGAGGTCTAGCGGGAAGCTGCTACCCCACTTTACATACACGCGGTCATCTGGTGGGGACCCATATAGCGACATGACTCTGAAGAAGCCTGCTTCATCCCGCCAACAACAGCGACCCCTTGGGACATATGTGTCCCACTAATTGAATCGCAATGCCTAGTACCTCAAATATCACTGTGAAATGCTTACTAAAAAGAGGAAAAAATCAAATAAGCTCATTCATGTATAAACGGAAAAAAATAAAGAGAGAGAGAAAAAAATCTGTAAAAAGTCCAGGCAGCAAATGCTTTCAGCTTTGTGGCTCAACTACTCAGAGGGTTCATTGTTGGGCTGCTAAGCGAAAGGTCAGCACTTTGGACCCACCAGCCGCTCCACAGCACAGAGATGAGGCTGGCAGTTCCTGTAAATTTTTACAGCCTTAGAAACGTCCCAGGGCAGTTCTAATCGGTCCTCTAGGCTCCCTCTGAGTTAGAAGTGACCCGACTTGATGGCAATCGATCGGGGCTGCTTGTTCGTGGTTTGTTTGGCCTCAGCTCTGGAACTGCAGCACAAAGACAATCGTAGGCCAGGAGTAAGCCAATCCGAGTAGTTCTGGCCCCATTACACTTTCATTTACAGAAGCAGCCATCGGGCTGGATTTGGCCCGTGGCCTCTGGTTTGCAAACTCCCATGAGAACGAATCGATGGGTTGACCAGGGAAGGTCTCTCTGAAGAGGGGACGTGGATGCGGACAGAGAGCTGAGAGAGATGCGGAAGAGTGGCCGGGCAAACAGGCAAGCCGTCAGCGTCCTGGCAAAGAAGAAACACCTGCAATCTCTGAGGTAGAAAGGAGAGAGGCCGGTGTGAGGAGGAGGGACAGGAACTGAGCTCAGACGAGGCGTGGGGCCACTTCAGGCAAGCTCTGTGCTAGAAAGGAGCCTAGACTTTTCAAGGCACGGAGACGCTGTGGGGTGACAAGTTTTAGGCAGGAGCTCACCGCATTGCATTTTAAGAAGGCCCCACTGACAGAGTGGATTCTGAGCGAGCAAGGGTGACGGTGAGGAGATGGCAACTAGGAAACCACATGGGATGTCTGTGGAAGCTGTCCAGCCAAGAGATGGGCCAGGCGGTGGGGTCTCTTCCCAATTCTCTGCTTCTGTCCCTTTCTCTGGCCCTCTCTTGCGCCAGCCAGTGCAACCCCCGTTTTCATAAGCTCTCATGTATCTGCGTTTTCTTTCTGGGTCACTCCCGGCCCCCCTGGCTTTTGTCAACTTCTCTCTCTGGGTCCCTGTCTCCTTCTCTTTCCCAATCTCTGTCTCTGTGTCTCTAGTTCTCCATCCTCTTTCCTGAAGGCCCCTCTCCTCCCTCTCTGTCTCTGGGTTCCTGTCCTCCTTCTCTCTGGAGCCCTGTCCTCTCTCTGGGTCTCTGTCCCCTGTCTCTCTGAGTTTCTGTCTCCTCTCTCTGGGTCTCTGTCCCCTCTCTCTAGGTCTCTGTACTTCGCCCTCTCTCTAGATCTCTGTCCCCCTCTCTCAGGGTCTCTGCCCTCACCCCTCTGGGTCTCTGTCCTCCTCTCCCTCTCATCTCTGCCCCCCTTCTCTCTGGAGCGCTGTCTCTATCTTCCAGGTTTCTGCCTCTCTGATTTGGGGGTGTCTGACCCCCTTTGGATCTGCCTCAGACTCTCTCTTTCTCAGTCTCTAGCTTGAAGCCGCTCCTTTAACCCATCCTGTGGGGTGCCAGCCCCCACATTCAAATAGGTCTGAGGGGCGGCTGTGTCATTCAGGGGTAAAATTAAAGAGACACCAGACAAGATAAAGCATGCAAGTGCTCACTTCCAGGGCCACTGTGACTTCAGGACTATACACTTTGGGGGCACGTAAGCCCTCTAATTACAGGTAACCACAAATGTAACCAAGTGGGATGTGCCCTAACCCTAAAGGTCCCTGAGTCTATCGGATGAGTAACAACACCAGTGTCCCGGTAAGTGGAGAGTGGCTGTCTTCAGAGCCTAGAGAGCAATAGCAATGTATCTGCTCCTATAGTTAAAGCTGCCGGCCAGATAGCAATCAGCCATGTCTTTGTCAGGGGTCACTTTAAGGCAGCACTATGATGGGAGGATATAGTGGAGAGTAATATTAATTATGAGAATGTGATTGGGACTCACCTCCAACTCACAAGGGTGAAGGTCTCCCTCCACCCTAGAAACCCAGCCTGCCAGGCTCCTTAATGTATGAGACTACAGAGTTCAGCCGTATACACTCTTCCCGTTGTGTGCTTCCTCAATCGTCCACTAGGTGTGCAAATGTCAAAGGTCTTGTTCGGTGCCATTCAGTGGAACCTGACTCCCAGCAAACCCCACGTGAAGGAGTACACTGAACCCTCGTTTAT